TTTAATAACCTAATATTTGCCAAATCTAGAAATAGGTAATCACTGGTGTGAGGATCACCTTCAGTCCTGCTGTCCTTGGGTCAAAATCACTCCTGAGGTTTGAAAATGGAGTCATTTTAATCCAAATATTTAAAGAAAATACCTGCTTTTAAAAAAAGAAGTAAAAAATTACAACAGTGTCTCGTCAGATTCAGTTTCCTTCTCAAATCATTTGGTTTTGTTTCTACAAAAGATGCCAGTTAGCTTAAAAACAAGGATTTTAGACCCAACAAGGCCACAGTTTGACTTTATGCTGAACCTCCTGCTGCCATGGGATCAAACGTTCAGATTTCAGGAATCAGAACGACAGGTTAGCTTTTACTTTTATGGCAAGGGTTAGCTTTGTGCTAAATGTTGGGCCTAGGTTAGGATTTTGTAACTTTTTAGCATTTGGTTAGCCTTTTGTTTACTTCATAACATTTAGTTAGTTTATTGGTCAAGTCTTAGCATTTGGTTAGCTTGTTGTTCATGTTTTAGCATTTAGTTAGCTTATTGTTGTTCACATCTTGGCATTTAATTAGCTTGATGTTCAGGTCTTAGCATTCTGTTAGCTTCTCGTTCACATCTTAGCATTCGGTTAGCTTGTTCTTCACATCTAGTGCTGCGTTCGTTGTATCGGAACTTGAAATTCTGAAGCCGGACTGATGTCAATTCTGAGCTGATAGCGTTCCAGTTTCAAACATCGGAAAAAGCATTTATTATTTTGCTCTGCAACAAAAAAACGTACAATAATAGTGCTCTATGAGTATTTTGAGTGTACAAACAGTGTTAAAACATATTTTAATTATCACTATAAAGCACTACACGTACGTCTGACGTAATGTAAAATAAATAACATAGAAGCCGCGTTTGTTTACATGCAAAAGTAGCAACGTTAGCGGTTAGCTCGGACAAGCATGCTAGTACGCTACATTAAATATAGAAAGGGAAAATAAAAAAAATACTCGTTCCTATCCTGCCTCCTCTCTTCTTACTTTCTGTCTGTTAAATAATGGGGATGGTGCTTGTGTACGATTGATTTCAGCTCAACATTAGAGAAACATGCTAATGATAGTGCGACCGCTGACAGTTTCATGCGCGCAGCAGCCATGTTGAAATGATGATGTAACGCATGCTCGGGCTGCTCGGGTATGGTTTGGATGCGCCGACCACCCGACACGAAGCTACGACTTCACGGGGCGTTCCAGTTGAAAAATAGAACTCGGAGGCTCAAAGCTACGATCTCCAAGGACAACTGGAACGCAGCATGCACCCAGTTAGCTGCTTGTTTGCACTCGGTTAGCTTGTTGTTCACGTTTTAGCATCCGGTTAGCTTGTTGACGTTTTAGTATTTGGTTAGCTTGTTATTCAAGTTTTAGCATTCATTTAGCATTTTCCAGACTGGTCCATTGTACTTTGATAGTTTAAAACTATACATTTATGTCAACAAGGGAAGACTTGTCCATCTAGCCTTACATGTTGAACCCAGAGTCTGATCCAGAACCAGAGGAGAACCAAGAACACCAAACTGTAGTTGGTAAATCCAGACCTTATTTGTGAGTTCCATCAAAAACTGACGTAATGTTTCATAAATCATAGAAAACTGAACGGTTAAAAAACTCTGACCCAAACAGAATAAAGATCTCTGCAGCACCAGGAGAGACTGAATTCAATAAACTCAAAACAAAAAGTCCTATAACTGTTAAAAAGGTTTATTTTGCAGGATTTGTGTCGTTTTAACGATGAAATTAAAGTTTTAATCAGGTTTAAAGTGTTTCAGAGACGTCGGGTCAGTTCAGCACAGATACTCTTCAGCTCCAGTGATAAGAGATGAAATCAGCCGAAGCTCCAAACCCAAGGCCACAGTGAAGGTAAACGCTCTCCTGCAGCATCGAGGCATCAGTCCACCTCCTGCTGCAGCAATCGGCTCCCGGAGGAAGAGGAGGAAGAGGAGGAAGAAAGCCCAACAGAGCCGAAAGTGTTTGTTTGATATTCATGTGGATCACAGGAGATCCATTCCTATTCATGGAAAAGGATAAAAACATGAATCTGACTGATGGAGACCAGAAGAAACACAGAATCACATCAGAGCCGAGGGCTACAGCAGCCGAAGATTTTACATTAATCAGCCGAAACATTTCAACAGAGCTTGCATGACCTCGCAACAACAGAGAGAGAGAAARGAGCCGAATCCTTAGCTAACAGCAGCTAAAGTCAGAAAAATAAAGTTTCTTTACCTTCAAAACAATTAAATAATTGTAGCTGTAAAATGTAGTCATGCTAAGAGCGCAATGAAAAGGCTAAAATTAAATTAAAACAGAGCTACATGCTAGCTGAAAGTAGCAAAACAAGCTAAAAGAAGCAGCGGGCTGATTAAAAGCTAAAACTAGTACAAAAAATAGCTAAATAGATTAAGGCTAAACAAATAAAAGTAGGTAAAAGCTATCTCAAAGTTGAATCTTTTCAAAACYTAGAAAAATTACGAAAAAGTAAAGTCACAGCAGCCGAATGTTTAGATGTAAACAGCTAAAACCACTCACTGTTCAGAAATTAGTCTGAGCCGAAAATGAACAGAAAAAAATGCTGACTCAGCGTTAGAACGATGTAGTTCTGCAAATCTTCTAAAAAGGTAAAAGTTTGATAAAAACCTGGACCCAGAACCGGTCCGGTTCATGACGTAACCCNCCCCCACACACACACAGAGGAAGGCAGCTTCGGTTGAAACACCTGCTCTTCTTCCTGTCACAATACGTCATCCTGTCAGCAGCAGACCCAGAGGACCGGCCCGGCCCGTAACTCTGGTCCATGTTGGGTTTTATCACCAAACATTCCAGCTGTGGAACTCTTCAGGCAGCTCTCGTCACACATATGTTCCAGAATCCAGACCCATTAGAAAAAGGACCAGACTCCAGGTTTTATCCTCTGCCCGTCACTGACTAATAACTGGTACTCTTTAGGAAGAGGTGGAGCTGTCACCTCGTCTCTGACACCGGGGGAGAAACGAGCCTTCACACCTGGTCATTAGGACCAGGACTGAGAACTACAGCTCCCAGCATGCCTCAGGGCTCTGACAGGAAGCCAGCTGAGAGAGGGAACACCAAACTGTCAACAACACACCTGATACAACAACACCAGCATGGAAACATCCTGCAGGAAGCCCTGAGCAGGGAGAGGAGGGGGAGAGAGGGAGGAGGAGAGAAGGAGGAAGGGAGGAAGAAAGGAAGAAGGGAGGGAGGGAGGAAGAAAGGAGTCAAAGAGAAAAGGAAGGAAGGACAAAAGAAAGGGGGGGTTGGGAGAAAGATGGAAGGAACAGGGAAGGGGAAGAAAGAGGAGAGAAGGAAAGGAGGAAAGGAGGAAGGAACAGAAAAGGACATACAGGAGGACAGAAAGAAGAAGCAAGGAAGGAGGAAAGGACACAAAAATATAGAAGGATTCTAACCGCAGAGCATGAGCTAAAAGTAAAAGTGGCAAAAAGTAGAAACAAAAAATGGGTAGCTAAAAATAGCTAAATTAGAGCAAAAAAACCAAAATAGAAAATCACCTACATAAACTTATAAACAGCAAAATATCAGCTAAAAGGTGGTAAATTAACACATTTTGCATGAAGTTGTAGTGGTAACAAAAAAAGCAAAAGAGTAGCTAAAAGGACTAGCTACCATTAGCAAAAAATTAGCTTTTACCTAAAATTAGCATCATCAGAACACGTTTTAACAGAATCAACATTAGCAGGAACTGTTAGCAGTAGCTATATTAGCATCAGCAGAAGAAGTTCTAAATGTATTTTAAGAGTTTTAAATAAAAATGTAATAAAACAGAAAAGCTTATTTTCAATTCGCATTTATAAAAATCATGAAATATATTAAAACACTTCTGTGTTTTTCAGAACCTAAATCAACCGGACGTCCTGATTTACTGCAGTTTATAGCGTGATTTCACTCAGAACGTTAAAAATCCTGAGCAGGAGCAGCTAAAAGCAGCTAAAGCAGCTGGTGTGGAGCTGCAGGCCAGGTCTGAAACATGAAACCAAACAGTGATATTTAAATTATCATAACTCCAGTCTGACTCTGGTGGTTCAGAGAACATGAAGCTGTGAGAAGATTAAGCCAGGAGCCTGATGATCAGAACCAACCAGGTGATGAAAACTCCTCAACCCCAGCCCTCGTTAGTTTAAACCATAAACCTCGTTAGCTTAAACCATTGTTAGCGGATACCTCGTTAGTTTAAACCATCGTTGGCGTAAACCACGTTAGTTTAAACCATCGTTGGTGTAAACCACGTTAGTTTAAACCATCGTTAGTGGATACCTCTTTAGTTTAAACCATCGTTAGCGTAAACCACGTTAGTTTAAACCATCGTTAGCGGATACCTCTTTAGTTTA